GACTATCTGGTGCTCTGCTTTCTTCTCTTTTCTCCAGCGGGAGCCTGGCTCTTCTTGTTCTGTGCTATTGCAAAGTCACCACTAAGTTTGATGGGGAAGGCTGCCTCCACCTCCTCCTAGTCTTAGGTGACTTCCACAGTCCCCTAGTAAGGAGGATGAGCATCAAGGTAACAGAATGATTGGACTAACCTACACTTACAGCTCATGGAATGCTGCTCAGTTATGTAAGATCTTTGAATCTCAGAGCATCATCTGGCAGGTGGATGTAGCACTTACTAGGTTGGGCTGTGGAGGTTTGTAAGGTGTTAGTACATACGGCCATTCAAGTGCTGTCTGTATTGCCTGCCAAGCTGCTGTTCATGTGGCCCAGTCATTCTCTAGATATTCATGTGATTTCTGAGGTTCATTTTGGGAGCAGCTGGCCCCAAAGAGAGTTGGCTCTGATCTGGAAACATATCTGTACACAGTTTAGAGGTCAGCATTTTCAGTTGGGAAACCAAGCAGCCTCTGGAATGAGACACGCTGGAACATTCCAGCATGTATAAAGGATGCTCTTGTCTCCTGGCCTGCCCAGAGTGCATCAAGCTTCAAGGGAAGGCGAACAAATACCTGTGTATACACACCATCTCCCTAACTGTCAGTTATCTCTTAATGTTAAACCCTTGCCTCATGCAACTGTAAAATAAACTGCCACCTGTGTCAGATACAGTATGGTCAACATTCCTAAGGGTCAGCTGGATTTCTGATGCGTCTCTACTCCGAAGAGGCAAGCAGGGCCTTCCAGACCCAACCAGACCTTTGACCACCCGAAAAATACCCCATACATGTCAAGGCTAGCAAAACCAGTCATGCCCCAGAGACAGGGAACACAGAAAAGAGAAAAGTGTATATAGACTTCAGGTAGTGGATGAGAGATGAGCTTTGAAATCACACAGGCTAGGGTTTTACTTACTGCTAGGTGACCTTGACAAAGTCTGTCACCACTCTGACCCTCAGTTTCTTCATCAGAGCAAATGAAGGTAATCACAGTGCTCTCATGAGGGTTAAGCAAATTAGGCTCAGCACAGGGGCATGTGGGTATGGCTTTCACAGATAATTGAGCTTTATTTTCATTGTTTTTGAGTAACATTTACCTCAGTTCTCCTCAAAGGGAGATGAACCTATCAGATCAAACAGGGTAGAGCCTCTATGCCAAAGATGGAGAATCAATCTGTCTAGTTCACGAGGGAGGCCTGTGTCCAGGATCTAATTGCTAAACTCAATTTTAAATACAGGTTGAGCATCCCTAATCCAAAAGCCAAAATTCTCCAAAATCTGAACCTTTTTGGTCACCCACATGTCACCACAAGTGGATAATATCACATTGGATCTCACATGATAGGTCAGAGTCAGGAGTGTATAGAAACTATTACATAAAATGACCTTCATGTTCTGTGTAGATGAAACATACATGAATTTTATGTTTAGACTTGGGTCTCCTCCCTAAGATCTATTGTTATACATATGCAAATATCCTAGAACCTGAACTTCCAAACACTTCTGGTCCCCAGCATTTCAGATAAGGGATATTGAGCCTTTAATATTATTTGCTCCGTCCTATGTATGGTGTTTTCCAATCCCCTCATCTCTTGCCCATGGACCAGATAGCTCAGAGTGCCTTTCATGGAAGCCAGACTGAGCTGAATAGCTGCCAGTCTTCTTCTCAAAAGAGAAAGGGCAGAGACAGGCTGCTAGATCTTGCTGATGCCCGGGCTCAGCAAGGCCATCCTTAGCATTTAATTCTCCATAAGCAGCTTAATTTTATCTTTCCCGACACCTCCTCGTTGTGACCGAGGGAGCCAAGCAGGCTGGCAGAGGATGAGTGTCCAGGAAACTGCCCTTTTCTGTCTTCTTTTGTTCTCTGCTTCATGAACTCTACGCCTTGAGCTCTTTTTTCCTTAGTCGTTCTGCCATCCTGGGATGTTTTGATGCCTTACCTCTTTGAAATAACATCTCATGCTGAGAGATCTGGGAGCAATCATGAACAGAGATGCACCTGCCTTAAGCAAAGGAAACTGAGCTGGACCTGGTGTGTCAGGAGTATTGCCAACATAGTATTCAGCCCAGACATACTTTCAAGGTAGATCAGAGTTGCTTCTTCTCTGTCCCAGAGCTGTCTTGCTTCTCTGATGTCAAACACTCCCCAGAACCAGGTACTGCTCTTGGGCTTATGAATCTGGACCATGGTGCCAAGTCTAAATGCCTTTTCACGCAAAGAAGGTACAATGAACTAGCAAAGAGTACACAGGTACAGAGTAGGGAGGAGTGAGGACTGCGGCAGAGAGCGATGTTCTGTCTGTAGGTACAACGATGGCATGATTGTTGCCAGAACTTTTGAATTTGTTTCCCATAAAAATGTGTGTGTGAGTGCACATGTTGCATAAAATGTCCAACTTTTGAAACATAGGGAAGATGTCTACATAGACACGCGTATGGTATATTGTGAAATGGTAAAGGAAGAGGGGATCCTCGAACCATCTCTCTGTTGGTCTCTTTGTTGAGTAGTTCAACATTTCTGTCAAAATCATGTATTCAGAGACCTTGAATATCAAGACTGAGAGCAAATAGTTTACCAATTAATTTTTTTAATTAAAACAAAAACATGTGTGTGTGTGTGTGTGTGTGTGTGTGTGTGTGTGTGTGTGTGATCTGTTTCTGACTTGGTTGCTTGCCTGTTACTCTGCTCACAGCATCCTCCTTCAAATGCTCCTGACCTAGAATGACCTTGGCTACAATTAATACACAAATCACAGGAAATTGTTGGGGGAAATTCTGCAGAGGGGATGTGCAGATGGGCGGAGTAGATAAGACCTTCATAAAGAAGCAGCTGAGCCCTCTAGGGACCTGGTTATCATCATGCCTCCCAGCATGCTCCCCAGAAACTCTGGTGACCTTGAACAAGCCCTCAGAATGTCAGCTTCAGTCTCCTTGCCTATATCTGTGAGGTGGCTCTGCCCATCTGCCCAGGTTACGGTGAGAATAACAGGAGATCAGGAAAGCACTTGGAAAAACAGAGTATTCTAGCAATGTGAGCTTTTTCTCCACTCTGAGGCAGGAGGATATCTGTGTGGCCCCTAGGGACCCTGCCCATTATTAGCCAGATTACAGGCAGTTCTTCTTGCCCTTGTCACCGCCACAGCTGCCTGCCTGCTCCTGGAGTATAAAGGGGACTCTGCCAGGGAGGTAGGCCTGCAGCACAGGAGAGGAGGCCTGGACACCCAGGGGCAGCCCCGCCACCCCCAGCTTCAGTCCCCATGGACTGTGGTATGGAGAGACTCCTGAGGAAAGCCAGTCTGTTCTGAATCTCATGGGACATGCACTGGGAGGAGAGGGAAGGAGGCCTCCGAGTCCACCTTGAAAATGATTTTTAAAAATTGAGCACCTAGCCGGGTGTGGTGGCGTACGCCTTTGATCCCAGCACTCGGGAGGCCAGAGGCAGGTGGATCTCTGTGAGTTTAAGGCCAGCCTGGTCTACACAGTGAGTTCCAGGACAGCTGGGGCTACAGGGAGACCCTGTCTCAAAAAGCCCCCCCCCCAAAAAAAAGTCAGCACCTTCACTCTATTACTTCCCTTGCCCCACAACCACAGCTTGCATCCAAGGAGTGAGAAATGGCTTCACAGTACTTTGAAGGACACAACTAGGCAGTGTAGGATCATGAAGGAAATGCTTAGCACCCAGATTTGCTCAACCTGACAGCTGTGCATCCTGAAACTTGCCTGTGGCCCTCACACATCTGCTGACCAGTGTTTCCCCCACTTCCTCTGCTGTTTTGGTGAAGGGAAAGGGTCTAAAAAGCACTAAGATCACAGCAGAATCGGTCCCTCATGCGTAGGAAAGCTGAACCTGGGGAGATTGGTGCTCCCTTCGAGGAAGGAGACCCCCAAAGTTGTGTGTGGAGTTGGATATTTGTCCTGATAAAGGATAGGTGTTACTACTGAAAGGAGAAATTGAGTGGATGGCATCTGCGTTGCCACAAAGTCTTGGGCAGGAGATACGTGGCAAACAAAAAACTAACTAGTATCCTCAGGTCACAAGTTGAGGTGAGTGAAGGAATTGTGCAGAGGGCTATGAGAGGCAGTACTGGTGGCTACAAGGTTCTCCTTCAAATGTGGGTGTCAGGAGGAGGGTGATAGGGTTAGGACAGGCCTCCCTGAAGAAGGTGAGGGGGTTAGGGCACATATCCCTTAGGAGGGGCCTTTGAGCTAAGAGGCAAACGAGAAAGAGAAGCCGACCTTACTGAAAGAGGCTAGAAAAAGGGTTTCAAGGACCAGCACAAGCACCTGTGGTGTGCCTGAGCAAAAGGTGACTGGTGGGGCTGGAGGGCAGTAGAGGAGAGCAGCCCCCCTTAGATAAGGACAGGGAAAGGGGGAGAGATCCAGTCACACAGGATCCCCTCCTCTGTGTTGTGTGTGTGTGTGTGTGTGTGTGCGCATGTGTGTGTGTATATCTCCGTGTGTCTATATGTGCATGTCTACACATGGACACTATTTTTTCTAGGAAGATGGCCTATACCTTTCATCAGATTTCCAATGAAATCAGTGATCCAAAAGAGCTCTAAGAAGTTCTCTGAATCAAAAATTGCCTTGACTCCGTCTACTAAAGCTTTAAAACAATTGTGCCAAATGATTGTTTTTCCCTTTGTGATTCCTGGAAGCTCTGAATTCTAAAGCAGAAAAGTGCAATGCTCAGTGGCATTCCTGGCTTTCTCCAAAGCTGCAGGTGCATAGCCAGGCGCAGGTGCATGCCAGGCTGCAGGTGATAGCAGTGTGTGGAGCACAGCATCCATGGAGATGGGAGGGACATGACAGGGTCTGGGCCGCCTCAAGAAGGCAGCCTCTTTCTCTGAGCTGCAGCAGAAGCTCAAGGCCACATGGATGAGGAATGGCACCTTTGTGGCAGTACCATCAGGTCCAGCCCTTGCTCCACTGGCAATGACCAGAGGTTTCTTTTCTGTCTGCAGCCTCCTCAATGCCAACAAGATCAACTGCCTGCGGGTGAACACCTTTCAGGACCTGCAGAACCTCAACCTGCTCTCCCTGTATGACAACAAGCTGCAGACCATCAGCAAGGGACTCTTTGCTCCTCTGCAGTCCATCCAGACACTGTGAGTACACTGCCCCAGCAGCTGGAGACCCCTAATACCAGCCTCAGAGAATACCCCAAAAGAGGACAGGCTGTGAGCACCTATGGGGTGATTTCTAGAGTTTGCAAGTGGGGTAGATGTAACTCAAAGAGCAAGTGTACCTGTGCCTCGTACTCAGGTAGGGCTTGACACCATGCTGAGGGCTTGCCCTGCTTTCAGACCTTTAAGCCTCCCACAACCCAGGAGGGAGGAACTACTATATTATCCCAGATTATGTATAAGGACTCCAAAGTACTGAGAAGTTGAGTAGCTTATTCAGGTTATGGCTAGTATGAACTATGCTCATAACCATAACAGCTGATGTGTTCTGAGCAATCTCCACCTCTGGGAGACTCCATTCGCTCCTGGTGATAGCTCCCTGCACCCTGCAAAGCCAGTTCTCTGATACAGGCTCTCTGGGGATACTTTACACACACACACACACACACATACACACACACACACACACACACACACACACACACACACACATTCCCAAGTATTGCTGGTATATATAAATATAAATGACATATAAGTGCAGATCTCAGTCTATGGTTTTAATGGCTTCAGGCACAGCCCCAGGTCTGCAATGAGCCTGGGGTCTCCTGGAGACCCTGGAAGTCATCTGGCACCTATTTCCCAGTAGTCAGAGTCGGAACCAATATAGAGTGAAAGCAGCTCTGTATTAAATGCTGACCACGTGCCAAGCTCCATGCTTAGTATTGCAGAGTTTTTCTTACTGCTCAGGGGAGGGGAGGCCCACAGGCATTCTCGTGATGATAAGGATAATAGCAACAATCCCTGCTACTATATATGGAACACCTACCATATGCCAGTCACCGTGCCAGCTGCTTTATGTGCCTGGTATGACCAAGCTTGGAGAAATAAAATGCATTTTACTCTAAATGTAAACTCTAAACCTTGAGGCTTGCATTGCCCGTCAGTTTGTGTGGGTGAGAGTGATTGGCAGAGGGTCCTGTCCCAAGTGGGGAGAGCTGGGAGGCTGATTCCCCAGACCAGATGCCAGCTACACCTGTGCTGCTTTTAGCAGACAGACAGCCCAGACCCCCTCTTTGAGTCCTCTCTCAGAGCAGTGTCCCTCCAGTGCTCCTGTGGAAATGAGGAAAGGGTCTGACACCAGTTCTCTAGGACCCAGCACCAGGCAGGGTGCTGGTGAAGCGAGGCACCACAGGTCACTCCTGATTAACAGTCCTCTCCCTCTTTCAGCCATTTAGCTCAAAACCCATTTGTGTGCGACTGCCACTTGAAGTGGTTGGCTGACTACCTCCAGGACAACCCCATTGAGACAAGTGGGGCCCGCTGCAGCAGCCCGCGCCGGCTGGCCAACAAGCGCATCAGCCAGATCAAAAGCAAGAAGTTCCGCTGTTCAGGTAATCAGGTTATGGGGGGCTGGGCATCACTTTCTGACTCAGAATACAGCAGCCCCAGAGAGGCCAATAATCCAATCTGGAGGACAGCGAGTGCTGTAATGGCTCCTGGGGAGCATCTTTGCAAATTAAATTGGGGGAATTCAGTTAGCCCTGCAGAAAACCAATTACCTTATGGATTTAAAATAAAACACACTCACACAATAAAGGCATGGGGGAGGGGCACACAGCTTTGGGGGAAACAGAACCCAGGCACAGTTGCTTCGGAGCTAGATGGAAAGAAGCTAGGAGACAGGGCAGACTTCCCAGACGTGCCCTTGAGAGGAGGCCAAGATTTATTAGGTAGTTTCTGAAGCAGACTCCCCAAATGGTAGATAGAGAAGTATAATCCAGGCCGGGCTGCAGTCCATACCATGATATGGTCCTCGACCACAGTGGGTTATATAGACTTTAGAAATACCTTCCTTAGCCCCTCCAAGCAGATGGCTGCTCTCTGGTGATACAGAGGACAGCAGAGCATGAGAGCAAAGCCTGTGCTTCCATGTCCAGCCCTCTCTAGAGACTGTCTTCCCCGCTACACCTCAGAGGACAGGTGGACAAACGGCAAGGAAATTCTCAACCCAGCTTGGAAAGAGAGGTGGCTCTGCTTGGCCAGTAGCTGGGTGAGCAGACAGTTAGACATTGCTATTATTCATGTCCTTTTCTACTGGGAATACATCGGAGCTGCACTGTGCTCTTATGAGAAACTGACAATAGGCAGTACTACGATGGGGTGAGCCAGTGCTCACAGTATGTGTCTCAGCAAGAACTGGGCTCCTAGCCACCTGAGTGAGTGCTCTGCAAGTGTGTTTTCCCAGGGACAGTGCCAGCACAGGGACTGGTCATGATGGGAGAGCAGTAGGCAACCTTCAGTTTTGTGCACAATAGCCTTGTCCTTTCATTCCAGTTTGTTCATTATGTGTCCACAGGATGATAAACTTTAGCTATTTTATTTGCAGAAGTAAATGCCTAGAGAGGATCTGGAGAGACCCCAAGGACATTGTGGCAGTATGAGCAGTTGGTGCCTAGTTGCCTTCCCCAGAGTAGCCATGTCAGTGATGAGGGTGATTCTTCACCTGTAAGGAGCACTGTGCCAAGCGTTCCTAGTTGATTTGTTTCTTCCACTAGTCCCCACTGATAGGAGAGGTCCTGTTCTACAGCAGAGAGAGCAGAGGGTTCCAAGGTGAAGGGCCACTCAAAGGTCGAAGTCAGCCACTAGTAGAAGCAGAGTCAGGCTCTAGATGTGCTCTCTCTTGACACCATGAGTGTCTGGCAGAGAAGGAAGTCCAGCAGCTTGAATGACTTTCTTCTGAGTCTCTTGGCTCTACTTCCACCCCAAACTCTTTCCTTGAATTCTTTCTGGGGCCTGGTAGCATCTCTAGGAAGAATGTTTGCTCCCAACACAGTGTCACCTATAGCACACCGTCCTTTCCCAGGACCTTCCCTCACAGGAGCCTTGTGCCCTCTCCCTGTACACCTTCCCAGCAAGTTAATTAGCTAGTTAGTAGTTCCCAAGGAAAGGGTGGATGAGAGGCAGAGGAGGGCCAGGCACCATCTGCTAACCTTGACTCTCAGTCTGGTGAGTGTCTTGCCAATATCCAGGACCTCAGATTGAGGTCTAGGCCCTGGGTGGCAGGGTAAGGATATGATCAGCCCTGGGTCCAAGGACTGTGCTTCCCAATAGCACCAGCTTGGCAGTGACCTAGCAATGACTGGGGACTGGGATAGTGGGTAAGAGGGTAGGGGTGGTGATCAGTAGGGAGCCAGGTAGGGGAACAGAAAATAGCAGGTAGAACTAGGAAACAAGAAAGCTAGTTTTAAATCTAGCTGTACTGCTACCTACCTATCTATCTACCTGTCTAACTTTGTGTTTGCAGCATTCCTATGTGGGGTAGAAGTGGTTAAAAGGGAGAGAGGGAAAAAAAAACAGGGAGAAGAGGGCAGGAGTCTTCAATTGACTTCGTCTAAAGTACCATTTTTTAAAAAATTCTAAGTAGAAAGCTTTTTCTTATAGAGGTGATGTTCAAAGCCCAAATGAGCCTGATTTACAGTATTCTGCATACTCTTTAGTAGTACAGAGGAATAGAGAAAGCTACCACTGAGCAATAAAGACCATGACTTTGAGAAACTCCAGGACCCACTCCTACCTTGGCCTTAGGGGATACAGAAACCATAGACCGAAAGCTTTGAGTTTCCACGAAGCTCCAGAAAGGGGAGAGGCAGATGACATGGACTAGAGTTGACAGATAATAACTCTGCATTTTACTTTCCCCTAAAAGCACCCCCTTGAAAAGACAGCTGATATGATTAGGAGCCAATTTGAGGGCTGCTCCTGGCTCAATGCAGAGCCCCTCCTTGGATAGGGCGTCTGGCTTCCCAGCCACTTTGCCTCTCTATCAGCTGCATCTGCTGTCCTGAACCGTGAGATCAGTTTAGGGGTAGATCATACCCACCAGAAGTAGTCTAACCATCAGATTAAGTCCTTCAGCACAGGCCCCACTGCAGGGAGCACTTGACAGCTGAAGGATGCTGCCGTCTTCTATCACACTCCCCTGCTTTGTATAAGAAGCCCTTCTTGGAAAAAGTACAGGGCCTGGAGTGTGGCTCAGAGACAGCATACTTGTCATGGACAAGGCCCTGGATTCCATTCCCAGCACCACAAAAAGAGAGACGGAGACAGAAACAGAGAGAGGAGAGAGGAGAGTGGAGAGCAGGAGAGAGAGAGAGAGAGAGAGAGAGAGAGAGAGAGAGAGAGAGAATGCCCGAAGAAGACAAACAGGAAGATACCTTACAGACTTCAGAGTTCATCCAATCCATTCTAGAGACAATTGAGAACCACACAATAGAAAGTTCTTAAGTTCTTTATTGTTTACTGCTGTACCTCTTAGAAAAGGAAAGCAAAGAGAATAAGGAAGGTTTTATTATTGTTATTATTATTATTATTATTACTACTACTACTACATTTTCTTTATTTCTGTGTGTGTTTATGTGTGGGTGCATGTATGCCACAGTGTAAGTGTGGAGACAAGAGGGCAACTTGTGGGACTCTATTCTCTCCTTCCACCATGTAGGACTTGGGGTTTGAACTCAAGTCATCAGCCTTGGTGGCAGGTGCCTTGACCCACTGAGCCATCTACCTGGCTCCCACAAGCAATTTCTAAAGCTTGAGAAACATGCCCTGCTCAGTAACTGAGGCCTGATCAAACTCAAAGATGAAATCCTAGAACCAGAGCGTTTACAGAACCCTGCAGCTCTAAGTGTCAAAATGTGATGGATCCCAGATTACCATTGCTGACTCTAGTGTATATCATGGGGAGAGAGTGAGAGAGGTGAAGGGGCCAGGCATAGGGATGGGCATAGTCTCTAACTGGTCCATCATTACAGACAACCCGTGCACTGGTGCAATGCTGTGAATGACAGCATCCTATCAATGAAACCAATTCCCAAAACACCTGGTAGAGGAGAGTGACCCTGTTCCTCCTATCAGTGGTCAGTCAGGGAGAGTCTGAGTCACCTGGCCGTGGCTCCATTCTCTTGGAGCTGTGCATATCTCCACCCCAATGCCAAGTGGAAGGAAGTCTGACCTATGGCAGACAGGCATATAAAGTGCATACATGGTCCTTTCACCTGAGTCCTTGGTTACCCAGAGCTCTCAGTACTGGGTCTACCTCACTCGCTCCCATGATACCCAGCCAGAGAAGAGATCTGAAAATCAAAAGGAACCCTAGAATTAGATGTCTTACCCTTGGGCTAATCAGTTATTCCCCTTACCCTTTCTTCTTCCTCTTAGTCTGATGAAGGCCCTTCATCAGAAGCCAGCCCCTAACCACTGTCCATTCACTGTCTCTAAGTATTCTTAGACCACAGTAACTATAGGCATCTCATTCCCAAACCTAGGTCCCCACTGGCTCCCCCATCTTTCTCTGCTAGGAAGATATGGTGTCTTTTCATTCCACACTCCTCCTCTACTAAACTTCAAACCATCTGGGCTGAATGGCTATCGTCAGTCTGAGGAGTCTGGGAACCCCTCAAGATACTGAGGAGACTCCTGAGTTATGGAAGAGTCAAGAGGAGTTTTTGTCTTAAGTGGAGATCCTGCTGGGCTAGACCAATGGAAACTGAACCATCTCTTTATTTAAAGGGATGGAGGAATGGATTATAATGGAGCCCCTCAGCCATTGAGGTCAACCCTATGTCACAAAACATATAGAAGACGCTTTGCTGACTTCATGTCATAGCAAATCACATGATGGGATGGAACAGATTTACAGGCTCAGTTCAGGGTCCAGATGCGGCTAATGTCCCTTCTGCCAGGATGTTCCTGGATATGGGTGTCTGATGGTTTCCCACCTGTTCCTGTCCTTTCTCCTGAGTCTCCCTGGGGCAGGACACAGGGAGTTGGGGCTTGTGTCTTCAGCAGGCAGCGATACAGTGGAACTCATTCCTGGTACTAATCACACTCAGTGGGGGCCTGCTCCGGCTTCCGCTTCTCCACGCTGCTTCCTCTGAGCGCTGCTGTCCTCTCTCTGAGCTGCTTCCTGACCTTGACTCTGACCAGTCGCCGTGGGGCTTTCCTTTGTGCTTGATCTAACCATGTGGTGGAACGATGGAAACGGAACATGGTTCTGTCAAGCACCGCGGAAAGCACCGCGCTCTCCTGCAGCATGGCCCGCCGCCACCACCGCTGGACTCCTCTCTGCTCTGGATCACCACGCCTGCCAGACCCACTTCTCCCAATCTTTAACTCACGGAGGGCATGGGGTTGGGAATCTCAAAAGAGTCAGGTACTGGGTAACGGGTTTAGAACACACTGAGGGCACATTAAGACTATCCGTATCTCCTACCCAAAATGGAGTCACCATACCTCGTCTGGTCTGATGTGACCCCAGGAACGATAGCTAAGTTCTAGCTTCCCATCTGAAGAATACAAATTTGCCCAAGGCATATGCTCCATTGTTTCATGG